TAGTTGTTGTTGCTGTAGTTGTTGTTGTTGTTGTTGTTGTTGCTGTAGTTGTTGTTGTTGTTGCTGTAGTTGTTGTAGTTGTTGTTGCTGTAGTTGTTGTTGTTGTTGTTGTTGTTATCAATCCAGCAACAGCTGGGCTCTCGCCCTTCTGTCCAATGCCATGTAGTGATAAGTGCAGGTTTGCTGCAGTTGCTGGAATGTTCCATAGAGTGTGTTGTTTCAATACTGCGTGGACTAGTGGAATGGGCTTCTTGTCCTCTTTAAGGAACACACAATACTGTGTTTTACGTACGCACGTGTCGATTAATATTTAAAACGTGATGTCTTTTTTTATGTACCGGCAATGCGTATTGAGCGTCTTTTAGAAAATGGAAATGCACAGCATAAATGTTATTTATTATTATTAATATTATTGTGGAAGAAAAATTTAACTGAATAATAAAAATTGTCTCTGCATTTTAGAAAATATATTTGTATTATGTCATGTATATATTTTTGGGGTGCTGTTTCAAAAATATACTTTTCCCACATATCTATCGGCTCCAAAGTATAAGCCTACTTAGATTTGCCTCATTTCTCTCACAGAACCTCTTGTCTATGTGTTTAGTGTATTTTGTTTGTGAGGTAAATATTTGTGGCTTTTCAAAATCAAATTACTTATAATAGATGTTCTAAACGGAATTGTTTTGTTTTTTAGTAGGGGAACTGGTCATATGGGTGGTTGACGGGTGCTCTGGTGTGGTTTGTTCCTTCTTTCCTATCGAACATCTATCATCTTTATCTCCCCTCCTTCTTTTTTGTGTTTGTTACTCTCTTGTAACACCTCTAATCTTCGTCACTTATATGACCCTATTGTGTTGCAAGTGCCGTAAGACTCTAACTAAAACTGGAAATATGTTTGGCTTTTCAAAATGAATCTTACTTATAGTAGATGTTCTAAACGGAATTGTTTTGTTTTTAAATAGGGGAACTTGTCATGTCATATGAAAGTGTTGCCTTTGTCGTTGTACTACTGAACTGTGACAGAAAACACGATGAGTTCTTCCATGTGCTGTCTCTTCCCTCTCAGATATGAGGACAACATGGAGTATAAAAAACAGATCACCCCTCGACGGAGGCGCGTTGGCTACCCCCCCATCACACCCAACGCTTGCGTCAAGGACAGTGTGACTAGTGCGGCATTTGACCATATGTGGCAGGAGGTAAGAGGGGGCGATAAAGTTGAAGCGCTGATTTGGGG